TCTTTTTTTGTCCAATTTCATGTGAGAAAGCAAACTGCAATGTTAACACTTTGATCATATACTTCTTCTCTGTGATATAAAACTAAAAAAAATCGATTGTACATGTCCACTGAGAGTTTTCAGTGACAGAGATACTCACTCTCTTGCAGCATGTTGGATGACTAAACCTAAACTCATACTCTGAACTGAAAACACCAGAGAGCAGGATGTCCCTATTCGACCTGTTGATTTTGTGTGGGTGACATTTGGGACTGTGACTCTATTTGCTTTTGCTTTACTTGTTTTAATGTGTCAGTTGTTTTTGAGTTCACTGTATAAACAGAATGCACTAAGCTGTAGGAGTTGTTCCTTCCTTTTGTTCTGTGAGTAAATCAACCCTCTACCACAACATGTGTTTTTTATCACTATTAATATCAGACTTTATACATATAGTCATAATATTGGTTTTAGCAAAACAAAGGTATACAATATAATGGTTTAAAGATGTACTGGGCCATAATGACGTCAGGAGACAAAGGTAAATCAAGGTAATCTGGTTTAAAAATGCATTAGTCTGTAGTGTACTTCATCCCTCTGAGTTACTNAAAAGAAAGAGACCAAATCCAATCTTCTCTTTGTTCACTGCATCCTGCGATCAACTTGAACAAACAATGGTCTGAAAGCTGAGCAAAATACAACAGACAAAATATGAATGGAGGGTTTTTAATATAAATATAAATAATATATATCGTAAAAATGTTGTGTGTAAAGACTTGCATAACTTTTTAAACCCACCTGATCACTGGTGACCAGTCTATAACATCAAAATATAATGTAAACAAGTGTCATCCTGGGGTAGGTAAGAGTTCTGACACCATGTCCATAAAAATACACAAGGTTCACAATGTTCTGGCAAGGCTGGTCAGGAATTGAGTAGAAAAACAAAAAACATGCACCTATTCTAAAAAGCTGATGACAACTTTCACAGCACTTGCTTTTATCGCTCTCACTTGAAGACAAGCGATTATGATTTCTTACTTATAATGTAAGATATTGACCTGTGTGAAGAGGTGGAAGCATCTGGCAGTAGCTCTCTGACAACATGTTGTTCAGAGAGGTTCAGGGACACCAGGGACACCACAAACCTAAAGGTCCGTAGCTCCCATTTGGTTTGGCCTGAACATCTGACATTTCATACGTGTGTTTGAAGTTAACAACCACCAGTGGTTGTTAGGGACGTATTATCAGTGGTGTACCTCAGTGTAATCGTGTGTTTTAGCTTTTTAATTTTAATTATAAACATGTTTATAATTTTAAAAATACCTCAAACTGGATAAATCATTGCTGTTTACAGTTTGAATCTATCCGGCCAAATTTTTTGTTTTCTGATTTGAAATGAGTGTTTCTGAATTTAAACTGAGCTGCTCGAGACACTGTGCTGACGAACTTCAACGAATGAAAGCTTTGTCACACATAAACAAACATACATATAAGAACTAGAAGAATTGGAAGTTTAAAGATCAATTCATTTGTTATTAATACATCTTTATTAAAATATCTTACAATGCTTTCTTGTTGTTSAATAGGATATTGTTTATGTGCTTATGTGAAAATATACTAGAGAATCCTTGAAGAAATCCAGTCAAGCCAATATAATGTTGGTTCAGGGCAACAGACTTCATTATGTTATTCAAGACAAAAGTGAAGTCACACTTAAACAGCACAGTTTAGCCACAAATCCTCCTCTGACAGTGACCATATATCATGAGAGAGTCTTAGTGTCCGTCTGTTTCCTCGTCCCCTTCAGGTGCCTTCACTGGACAAAGCTCTTTGGTGGGATCCATGAGAACAGGTGGAATCATGTTCAGACACAGCGACTGGGCCTTGTGCTCCTCCATCTCCCTTGGCTCCAACTCCCTCCTCCTGCTGAACAGGTACAAACGCTGCATCTTGCTCTGCTGGTTGTCAAAGTGCATCACCAAACAGTCGGGACAGGATGTGAAGAGGAAGGTCACGGTGAAGTTGACCTGACCGATGTAGAAGCTGCTGCCTTCCAGTGAGATGTTAGAGTGCAAGAATCGACAGCTGCTGCCGAAACCAAAAGCACACCTGAAAGAGAGTTTGGAGGATTCACTGGTGTTGGCGAAGTGAATGATGGCGCTGTCTCTACTCTTGAAGTGCTCCACGTCTGCGGTATCATTCAGACCGCCTGCGACCATGACCCATGTTCCCGCCAAATGATCGASACCCAATCGATCCGAAGGCCGGACCAGTTCCTCACAGGCCAGAGGAGCTGAGCTCACAGTCACCAAGCAGACGGCAGCTAAGACACAAAGAGCAAACATGTCTCTGGATTATGAAATAGTTGATTGTATGAAGTACAATTAATATTTCCACCAGCTCAGAGTCCTAATGTAGGATCCACAATGAATTCGGTCTGGTTTTATAATTATTTTAGGACCTCCAGTTTCACAATACNAGTTAAATCATCATTTTTTTTTACATTTATATGACATTAATTATTTGCCTCGAAAGCAGATTGCATCTCTCTGAGTCTCTCGAGCTGAGCCCTTTCCTCTGGCGATGGGCTGTTTGGGCAAAGCTTCTTGGACGGATCCATCACGATAGATGGACGCATGTTCAGACACTCCACCTGAGCCCTGAACTCCTCCATCTCCACCTGTTTTACCTCCCTCCTCTTGCTGAACAGGTACAATTCCTTTGACCAAAAAGGTGAACTTGTCTCCCAGCTCAACACCACGCAGTCTGGACAGGACGTGTGGTGCAAGATCCCAGTAATGGTCCAGATCCTCTCCTCGACATTGAGGATGTGGCCCTCTATCGAGATGTTGTGGGAAGAATGGAAGCAATGGTCACCTAAACTTTGGATTTGTGTGAAAGACACAATGTTGAAGTCAATAGCAACACTGTCTCTTGCTTGTAGGAATTCATCAGCTCGAGAATTATTCAGACTGGCCGCGACTAAGGCCCATCTTCCCTGGAAACGATGAACATCCGGCTGATGCATAGGCCCGATCAAGTCTTTGCAGGTCAGAGGAGCGCAGTGGCTCACAGACACCAAGCAGAGAACTGCCACGAGTACAGCCAACATGTCTCTGTGTTGTGTGTTGTCTTGCTGCTAGGTTGTTTGTCTCACGTTTCAGTTGCGCACTGGTGTCAGGCAAAGAGGAGTTCTGGTTTTATAGAAACCTTCTGTATCGACCCACCCATGGGTATTTGTGAAATTAAAGATTTTATGTGTCTAGTCTGTGCCTTGTTTACACTTGTGCTCTCTAACCTGTGTTAATGTTCAAGGCTGATGGTTGGTCACATGCTGTCAGAATCAAACAAACACCAAAGCCCCACCCTTTTCCTGTGACTGTTCCATTTTAATGGAACAATGGTAGTTTGCTGGAAAACACAGGTCAACAACTGGTCAGTGATCTTTCTCTTTTGATGATTTGACACCATTGATCATAACATGAGAGCGGCCTCCGTAGAAAGGACCCACTCCTGATGTAAATATAAAGTCTTTTAATATAAAAGGTTCATTCTAGGGTAAAGAAAACTACAATTCATACAATTTAGGTGAAACACACCAGTGAAAACATCACTAGGATTATTTATATTCAATTTCTGCAAATAGATCCCTTTCACCTAAATCTCATACACTACACCTTTAAGCCTACTGTAGAAGACCACTTTATATAGTCTGTCCATTCCATGTGCAGCCACTACAGTGTGTAGTGTTGTGTTTATGGACTTTGGAATTTTACCTTGCTTTGCCTTCTGTCCTTTGGTTGCCTTATCTGGACTAATGCTTTGTGCATGATCAATGAAACCTGGTGAGTGTTCTTTGCATCCGAGTCTGATTCCTCTGCTTGTGTCATTAATCCAGTTGCTCCAAAGGCTTGACAATAAAATCTATACAGACACCAACCAGCGGAAGGCAATCACGCACGCATGCACGTGCGCACACACACTAAATGTGCAGTGTGCAAATTATATGAATAATGTGTTCGCTAAGTGTTTATGTTGTTCTTTTGTGACTTCCCTGTGACATATTATTAACAGCAGGTGATAACACCCTTGAAAGCAACCAGTGAATCTGGGAATGTAACTTTTTGAATCCCTCAATTAGAGATAATTTGAATATTAAATAGATAATGTCTGTAGTAATCTGTCTAATGCATTTAATGTATTAGCTAATACAGGTCATTAATCTCATTGTTGAAAAAGTGGAGAATTGGAGGAATAATTCCTCCCTCGACACACTTGATTATTTTACTGGAAATGGAAATTGCACAGAAATTAAACATTTAAGTGATTCTCAAAAGCTACTCAGAGGGAAAAAAAACACTCAACCTGGATACTGAGCTGATCTTTTTCTAATGTAAACCCTGTGACAGGTTACTATGAGATAGATCATACAACATAATTCACTATCCATCTAACCCTTATTGATCATTTCATTTTGAGAGCAGTTTGATGACTATGAAATATGAAATACTGTTGTTCACTCCCCCCTCAAGGAATCATGCTCTGGTCTGACCCTTGACAGGACCCTGCTGTTCACCACAGAGCTAGAAAAAGATGTGGCCGAGACACTGCTGGGACCCCGGCAGTTTTGACAAGTGTCATATTCTTGAATAAATGGGGGATTTTTGAGACGTGCAGGAATATCAGGCACATCCTTTGGCACAGCTTGTTGTACGTAGCTTGAGTACACATGCATTAATTTATTGTTTGGAACACTGATGCAGGGATCGTTTTATTCACTGTATTGTATCTCCAGGTTGTATTTTTGCAGAAGAATATAACTCGTCTTCATGAGGTGTCTTACATGGTGTAGATGAGGAGTAGGTAGAAACCCCAAGAAGAAATGTCCCTCAGTCGACTGCATACCTCCTATAAGGCCCAACAGTCCCCTTAAATTCAATCATTTGCACCAGATTCCAGTTCACAGAGGTGGATGATGTGATTTTGGGACAAATACTGGGAATGTTAGACAAACATCCAGAAAAAGCTTTGTATGACATGTGTCAGTTTAATCATTAAACCATTCATGAAACAGACACTCAATTTCACAAGCTTTCTGTATACAGTGTACACGTCCGTGCAGAGAGCTGCATCAGGAGCTCTAAACCCCCTGCTCTAAAGCTTTCATACTTTCAGGTATTTTAAAACAATCTCTCTTTTACAACTGACAGTGGCCTACAAATATTCAGTGTTGCACCCTGCTGCTTATACATTTCGTACTATTAGTATCTATATTGTCAAAACCTGTATTACAAAGTAAATAAAAATATTCAAGCTCTATACTTGGATTAAAATGTCTCTAATACAAAGGTCAAATAAAAAAAATCAATAAAATAAATCAGCCTTAAAGTCATTAAATTAGAAGAGCATCCTCTCTGAACCTCTCCAGATCTTTGAACTTTTCCAGTTAAATCTCACATTCAGATTATGGAAAATACCAGATGCACTTCACATGAAGACACAATTAAAAGTAATACGTTTTAAGTCTTTGCTCATCTGCATCTAAATCGGAGGTTTTGTGATGCTGCGTTGCTTGGCTGGCTCGTCTCCAAACCGAGGAAATGAAAGCACACTTGTGTGATGAGAATTTCAAATGTAAAGCTCCTCAAGGCACTTAAATACTGACAAGTCCAGGTCATTTCCCCGCCTCCTCACGTCATGTCAGGGAGAGCTAACTTCCTCTTGGAGTATCAAGGCTGGAGAGCGAGGCTGAGGAAGTTTCGAGACAAATACAAGAAATGTTGGCTGCGGGTGGTGGAGGGAAGGGAAGAGAAGGGTGGGTGCATTAAAACAAAGAGACAGGGGAAGGAGTGTGTTCTGAGTTGAACATCAGAGCGACTGGACTGAGGCATACCTGCAGACTGAAGAGGGAGAGAGGAGGTTAATGTGCAGGGAGGTGGTTTACATGACGGAGCAGCACTGGCAGGTTTTGCGTTTGGGTGCCACCGTCTCCTCTCCCTGACTCGCCCTGGTTGGGCTGTGTGTCTCTGTGTTGGCTGGGCTGTTAGCTACTGCTGCTGGCTCTGGGGCCTGTGAGAGAAGGGGCTCCTGCTCCCCCTTTCCTGCCTCTGTCCTCTGATTCACCTGGGGATCAGCCAGGGGCACCTCCTGAAACTGGCCGCACGCGGTGGGAGGATCTTGGGCTCCCTCTGGTGACAATGCTGCAGCTTCAACCTCAGCCCTGGGTGTGACGGTAGAGGGTTGCATCTCAGAGTAGACTGGCACTAAAGCCACAGTAGCGCCCTCTAGGTCAGTGGCTGGGGACAGCAGTTGCACAGATGTTGGATCTTCAGATTCAGATGCATTTATGTTTTCATTTGTCTTGATGTCACTGCCCACATCTCCATCTCCAGTGCCTGGTTGTGCCTCTGCAGTGGGTTCAGACGTCGGACTTTTCTCAGGTTGTTTGAAGGTTTCTGGAGCCGTTACCTCCTCCACAGTCTCCCCTTCTTGATCTGGCAGAGGGCTTTCCTCTGACTGCTCATCTTCCTGGGGTCTAACATCCTCAGGTGCATCCTCCCCCTCATCTGTGATGATCACACATTCCGCTCTAATCACCAGGGTTCCTTCTTCTTCCTCCTCCTCGTTAAAAAATACGTTTGGAACATGACCAGGCTCCACCTCAGAAACACCAAGGCTCAACGCAGGCTCCGACTGCATACTCACGACACCCTCTGGATCACTGACTGGTCCATTGGTGTTGTGATTAGTGCCCGCACTGAAGTCTCCTCCACCATTGGTTAAGACAACTGCAGCTCCATCCAGTCGGGGGCTTTTGCTAACCTCATCTTCACTTGTTTCTGAAGGGAAAAAATATCAGATAAATATTACCCAGTAAAAGCAGAAATATCAGAAAATGTTCAGATTTCCATACACTGAAATGTTATGAGTGACTGCAACTGAGGCTAAAACATCAACACTGATTATTAGCTTCATTGTGGTTGATGTACATGCGCCATTACGTGATTACAATCAAAGATAGTTTTGCCACCAATATGCCAGCACTCAATACAGCTAACATTTGTATTGTACTACTGCAAACAAAAGCTTCTATCGTCTATAAATGCTGATGAATCAAATGGGATAGTCCTTGCAGAAGCTTATAAGATAACACTGTTTTAACCAGAGGCCAGAAACTCTGTTGTAATACATGGAGACTATTTCTATTTGCTACAGAGGATATTGTGATCACTGGTGTTTATTAATGAATCTGAAAAAAAGCAAAACCACCCACAGCACACTTGAAATGAAACTGAGATGAGAAATATTAAAACAATTTCAAGGGTAATTCATTGGAAGAACAAGTGTTAGAGATGCAGCTAAACTAGAAACTGCCATAAATTTTAATTTCACAGTCTCAATGAGAACTTTAAATCCCCTGGATGATTTAAATACTGATTGGGGGGTCCAGTGCAACAGCTTGAGCAGCATCTTCACTGACACGTCCATGTACCTGCTGCCCTCTAGAGATGCAAGTTATGCACTTGACTGCTCATTAGCATAAATATGTATGCAAAGCCTTATTCAACGTGCGTAATTATTCTTCACAGCATGTATGAACTTTTTGTGAAGTGTAGGCATGTCCTTGCCTCTCCTTCCTTTATCATGCAAATATGTTAAGATCAGTATATGCAATGTATACAGACTAATCTATAGGGATCATCATGCTTTTTAAGGGTAAGATGCTAAGTATATAAATTGATTGATGAAGATGAAATTTGATTTTAATGGTTCAAGGTTGACAAAACAAACATTTGATTCAACTGTGTGCATGAGTCAACTCAATACCCACCAAACGCTGTTGCATTATTTTCTCCGTTCTGCACAACAACACCTCGCACCATTTCTGAGGAAGACATAATGGTAGGGATGCATTGTTTTGAGAAGAAACTCTAAACACACTGGAGGTAGTTCTGACTCAAATACACCTGTGTCTTTGTTTAAGATATTAGTGTATGGCTTTATTGACACTTGTGTGGGTATCGAATCATACTGCTGCAACATTAGAAAACAACAAAATCCTACAGGTCTTATCCTATACAACTTATTTTCACAGCAAAGACCACATTGAATGAAATGCATCAAGTATCTGCTTTTTAACTGATCTGAATTTGTATGCCGAGAGCTGTTAATTGAGATTAGACAAAATGTTGTCTTGACGTAAAACACCTACAGAAAACATCGGTGTTTGTTCGTTGTGTGTTTTACTCAACTATTCAACTGTAAACGGTGCACAGCAGGAAACAGAGTCCCGGCCCTGATATCTGTTGTCTAAACTGGAAAAGTAGAATGTCTGCACTCACCACAAGATGATTTTTGTTACAAGGTTGAGCTGTATTTTTGGATAGAATGCAGTGTGAGTCCGGCTGATTGGATGCTGTGGGTGTTCGAGCTAATCATGTTCCTGAAATACTCCCAGCAGACTTCTGCAGTTTTGAAAGAATCTAAAATGCCCACTAAAATTCCTGCAACTATCTGTAATAACAGATTGATCTGTTACCTGTTGCAGCCTCAGCAGCCGTCGCTGCCTCCTGCTGGGTAAAGAGGAAAGGAGAGGAATTAAATTTGCACAATGGTGAAGCTGTTTGGTGATTTATGCCGGCTGGTCCGCTGGTGTGTTTTGAAGGGAATATAAAAGCAGGAAACTACAAATGAAATGCAAATACTGGAACATCACACAAGCTTTGAAGAGACAGACAAAATCCAGAATGCTGTATTTCTATGATTCATGTTGTGGTCTAAACAAGTTTGAGTCTGACACCTTAAACAACCCAGAGGACCACAGAGAGTAACAAACTAACTATGCAGCTCATGTGGATGACTGTGTTAAGTTTAGCTGAGAACAGATCAAGATAGATTATGATTGAATTACACTTTGAAGACCCTCAACATGTCATGACTCTGCATAAACAACCGTAGTCTTGCATTTAAAAAATAAATATTGTGATTTCTTTTGCTAATTCTCAGTCTGCTGAACAATTCTTTAAACATTTACACAACTACTTTCAGAAAACAATGGTTCTGAATCATCACCAACTGAAGAACCTGTTTTTGTATAGGAAGGCTTCTTAGATATTTTATGTGGTTCAGTCTTCTGTTTTACTGGTTATGAGAAATAACATAAAATGATGGCTGCATATAAGGATTATGTAATTATTGATTCGTCTGCAGATCATTTTTTTCTTTAGTTG